TATAGTTTTACTTGTTCGAATGATGAAGATAATATGGGCAGCCCGGTGCACGAAGCATCCCGTGTTTACGCACGGTGGAAGGGCCGCACAAGCATCATTGGCTGATTTCACGGCTTGAACCCGTGACCTATAGGTCACACGGAGTCAACTTTACCGTTGCTCAGTCAACTTTACCGTTGCTCCAAGGCTCCCCTTCCGAATGATGAAGATAATAAGATACTGTTAACTGGTTCTTGAGAAAAAAATGTTAGTAAGTTTTTAGTTTTAGTTTAATTTGTGAAGCAGGAAATATGTCAAAAGAAGTTTTTTGCTTCATTTTTGTTAATAAGTTGGCTGATAGAGTTTGGGTTGCAATGAAGCTCAGTTTTATAAGCTTTTTTTAGCCTGCATCGCTGCATGGTAACATAAAGTCTCTTTGAGGATGGATAGAAATTAGATTGTGCTATACTTTAATATTTATGAGGTTAGTAAGCTGAAATGGTACAAATGGTGGGGCTAAGTTAACCATTTCACTTTTCAAAGTCTAGCATGGGCCTCCTTTAATTGTTTTGGCTGATGTTGATGAACGTTATTGGCTGGATCAGTGCACCCTAGGTTCTGCTTAATAAATGTCAGAAACAAGGAAAGTTTCAATCTTTGTTTCCTTTATGTTAAATATTTCTGAGTTTGAGTTTAAGCTGCATTATGATGTTCATGCTCTACATTCCTGGAATCCGATGTTATATGCTTCTTGTATGATGAGTTCTTATGGTTGGTGTTAAGTTACAGCTCTATTTGACACTTTATTGATGCTTATAGCCTTAAATAATTTTTTTTTCTAATTGAAGAGGTTTATCCGTGGCTTCCTCTCTGGATTCTCCTGATCCACTTTCGGAAAGGAGTCTTATAGAGGATAGTAATAACAGTAGCCAAGGCGGGGAAAGAAACTTCTTTGATCATCAACCTATTTTGCTGGATCACGTCTCCAGTTCTTTCAGAAGAGAAGTAGTTAACAGGTGCACTTAATTGATGCCCTTATCGTCTTCCTTTGTCATTATATTTTAGTTGTCTTTCATTATCATTACTTACATTGGTTCATTTCTGGTTGGTGGAGCTTATTATTAATCCTTGGTGATATGTTTGCTTCTTGTTGGTGGACTTGTTAATACTGATAATGCATTTCATTTCAACGTGGTGGTATTTTAATAGATACTACCGCTGCTACTTGCTCTAGGTCTCTTGGAGATTCACCCAGTTTTACAACTGTGAACATATCTATTATATGAAGATTTATATTTTTGGTATGTTGATATGCGTAGGTTTCAAGACTATAATCCTTGTACATAGCACTTACCTTGCATACTATAATCCTTGTACATAGCGCTTACCTTGCAAACATCATGCATCTTTTCTTTCTTCCTAGTAGTGGTTGCTACAAACACTGTATTTCTACTTTGGATACAAGTATTCATATTGCATTGTATTTATGAAATACTGGCAGACTTGGAGCGGACAATATCACCAATATATTTCCTAATATCTTAAGGGCAGTCCTGTGCACTAAACTCCCGCTCTATGCAGGCTCGGGGGAAAGGTCGGACCACATTGGGTCTTATGTGTGTTTCTGCAGAATGATGCATTGCAGTATGTTCTTTTGTGGTTCACAACGTAATTTTTTATTATATATTATGCCTTGTGAAAGCCATTTTGGTATGCTACTGCATGGCCAGTGAGAAATAAAATATTTTTTTGCAGGGATTAAAGAGGCAATGAGAGTTCAATCATCTGTCGTTGCACTCTTTTCTCTTTTGGTGGAAAGAGGGTAATAGGGAAAAAATATTTTTCATGTTGTTTTTAGCTCTCATCTAATTTGCAGATTCTTAAGCGCTCCCTTCATTGATGTGCTAAATTATATGTTGCTTCTCTGAGTTACAGCTGGATGATGGCTATGTTTTCTCCTTAACATTATTTTCCTTTTTGCAATATTAGGGACTCTATTAAGCTGTTGCCTTGGTTTGTTTGTTTTTCATGGCCATGCTACTAATTTTGATTAGAATAATTTCAAATACACTGTAATTGAAATTACTATTTTTTAATTGTCTTCAGATCCTTTTCCATGAAAGCTGTAAATAAAAATGATGAAGATTTGGAAAATGGGATGTTGGAGAAAGATACAGAGAAGTCAGCACGCAGCAATAAAGTTGTCACAGTACACAATAAGGCCTTGCTATCCGGAGTCGCTTATTGTATTTCGTCCTGTAGCATGATATTAGTGAACAAGTATGTACTCTCCAGCTATGACTTTAATGCAGGGATTTCATTGATGCTCTATCAGGTGCTTCCCAAGCTTTGTTACATTTTTGAGCTATCGAGGTATATAGGTTGGGTAGTGACAATTAATCTTTGATCTTTTATGCAGAATTTTGTCTCGGTTGTGGTGGTTTCTACCTTGAGACTTTTTGGGGTAATTTCTACAGAACCACTCACTTGGAAGCTAGTCAAAGTCTGGTTGCCTGTTAATGTTATATTTGTTGGGATGCTTATAACAAGTATGTTCAGGTACAAGATACTCCCACGTCACATTTGTTGTACCATGCATTTCATTTTTTGAATATGTCTATTGTTTTATTTCCTGCTGGTTGCACAAGTCATTCATTGAGCCCTATTATGTTGGAACTTGGAAGTGCATCTATGATGCACAGTTCTTTGGGAACAGTTTGTCGATGTGATCGAGTCAGCTGGACCTTTATGCAAGATTATATTTCATGGGAATTCATTGCTTTCCATAGGCATATTTGAATATGCCTATTGTTTTATTTTTTGCTGGTTGCACAAGTAACACTCAAAACCCCCCACACACGCGCGCGCGGGCACTGTGTATGTTTGGAGGTTCTCTAATTCATGTATCTTCTGTTTGGTGTCTTATGTATGTCAATTCCTCTCTCTTTAGATGAAACAAAAGATGCTTAAGATGTAGGTCATAAACACTCAAATTGTGATTACACGGCATGTCAAAAAGCAGAAAAAGGTAAAAAAACATTAAAATTCAAGAAAAAAAGGTTTCAACTGCAGCTATTTATGTTCTTCTGCTCCACCATTTTCATCACTAATTTCAGTACTCTTCCATTTTATCTACATATTGTGCAGCAGCATTAAAAGATGCTTTAGCATACAAGTTGCTTTAGCGTTTACCAATTAAAGCTGTGATTCGATGAATCTTGGCTGAATAGCTTACTTCTAATTGTCTTATTTCCTGCAGTCTAAAGTACATCAATGTTGCTATGGTCACTGTCCTGAAGAATGTCACTAATGTGATAACTGCTGTTGGTGAGATGTATTTATTCAACAAAACCCACGATAACAGAGTTTGGACTGCTCTTTTCCTGATGGTATGATATTAGCTTAAATAGCTAAAATAGATTTTTTGCTTCGGTAGCATCATAGCTACTATCATGGTATGTTGGCTGTGTGTAAGTGGGAGCAAGATAGCATGTACCAAATTGTCTGCGGTTGATCAAAATCAGTTATTACTCTAGGCTTTACATTTTCTTCTTGTCACTTGCACATAAGAGGAACTCTGCTGTTGTTTCGTGTTAGTTTTTCCTCTTATGTCTGCTAATCTTTTTTTAAAAATCTGCATCATACCTATTACTGATTCATGTGTTAAGCGCATCATAAAGTTCAAGTACCCTAATCCTCGGTCAAAGGCATATTAAGTGATGCCTACTGGGAATAGAATGAATCTCATGGTGGGACTAAATGCTATATGCTGTATTGAGGACAAACGGCAGTTATGATAATGAACGGTGTGCCATCTTTTTTTTTTTTTTCCTTTTCGAGTATTGCTTCTGGTACCAATGGTACTCTCTGGTAACTAGTGCTATCAGTAGTTTTCATGAGTATAAGATCAAGATCAGTAGTTATTGGAATATCCATCGTCAACCCTAAAATCATCAGATTTAATGTGATTTCGCTACCAACTTTGAAATATAATGTACTTGTGAGATGAAAGCTTTAGAGATGTAACTCGTTAGTTGTGTTGTGCAGATTATTTCAGCAATTTCAGGAGGAGTTACTGATCTTTCTTTTCATGCCATTGGTTATACATGGCAGATTATTAATTGTTTCTTGACAGCGTCATATTCTGTAAGTGCATCTTTTTCTTGTGTTTCCTTTATGATCAAATATATATGGGCTCAATATCTGTGCTTTCTCTATAAAAAGAATGATGCCCACATGTGAGGAGGCAAGTTGATGACGATATTGAATAGATACATCACTGTCCTGGATATCCTTTGTAACAACTTAATCTTTTACTAAAAGGAGCTGCAAAATTTTAGATTACACTCTGATGTTTCCTACTGAAGAGATATAATAGGAACGTATCCCCTTGTAAACTTTGAACTCTGAAAGTATCTTAGGCAGTAACTGAATTGCCATATACCTCTTTATGTGCTCTCAGTATGAAATTAAAATGATGATACAGTTTTGACCTTGTAATCATGTAATGTTAATCATGGTATTCATAATGTTGCTGTCTGTCCAGGTAAAGAGATTTAATGTTTCCTGATTTAATTCTTAAAAACTCAATTATTTGAAAATATATAGTGTTTTAGTTAATATAATTTGAGATCGAATTGAGACTCGAACTTGAGCCTTGTTAGCTTGTGTTCAATTTGAAGCTTGTCCCATATTCCATTAGGCAGTAAGCTAGATCCCAGCTATTCAATGTTTCAGTCAAGCTCAAAACATCCAGAACTTGACTCGGCATTGATTTCTTCTTGATAACACCTCCAATTCTGTTTTCCATCAGTAATGGGACAAGCAGCAGAGTTTACCAGAATTGATTTGTGAGCTTCTTATCTCCGTCATTTTTCTTGAGGTCACATTTGATTTGATGTTCTAATTAATCATTTAAAACTTCTAATATGTTTTGTGCATGTCAACGCGTTGACCTGATTTCCCACGCTAATGCTTAAATTTAAAATAATGTTGTGATCTTCTGGTGAAGTTGACTCTACGCAGGGTGATGGACACTGCCAAGCAAGTGACTAAATCCGGGAACTTGGACGAATTTTCAATGGTTCTGCTAAATAACACGCTTTCACTGCCTTTAGGCATTGTGCTTATATTAATATTCAACGAGGTGGACTACCTTTCTAGAACGTGAGTTTTGGTTTCGTAAAGTAGCAATTTGTTCTCCTCAATTCTTTTTTTGATTTATCTCGTCTGTAAGTAGTAACCATTCTCTTAGGCACTCACACATTCACATGTATGTACATGCTTTGTGCCTATTGTTTAAACCTGTGATAATTTCTAATACATATTGCTACTTACTGAAGGCGAATACTGCTATATTGCACATTGAAAATTTTGCGACATGTTTTTTGGTGCAGGCCACTATTACAATTGCCAACATTCTGGTTGGTAACAACCTTTAGTGGATTTTTGGGCTTAGCAATTAGCTTCACATCTATGTGGTTTCTTCACCAAACAAGTGCCACCACTTATAGGTATGGTTCTTTTCAAATGACTGCGCTATTTCATTTTTCTTTGATTAATTTGACATTAAATCTTTCCCTATTTGATTTTTCTTTGATTTCGGATTCTGCAGTCTTGTGGGATCACTAAATAAGATACCACTCTCTGTTGCTGGTATTTTCCTCTTCCATGTCCCAACAAGTCTGGAGAACTCTGCCAGTATATTCTTTGGTGAGTGTTTACTCTTTCTCTTTACTCCAGCAGTGTACTTAAGATTTTAAGCAAATGTCGATTTATTGTCATAATTCAGCTTGTACACGGGTTTGGGTCTGGGGAAACTGAGTTCTAGGACTTAACGTCCTATCTCAAATTGATGTTTACTTTGCATGATTTTAAGCTTTTCGGATTACACATTATTTTTAGAAAAATATTATGTATGTGTGTGTGCGCGCGCTGCATTTAATTTTTCTGCGAAGCAGTGTTTGCTGTCACTACTTGGTTGAAGGTGCTTTCGGCACTACTTTACCCTACTACCTTTCTAAATCAAAGATGTGCTTCATTTAGCTAAGAACAATATTAAGGAAAAAGTATGTGTTGCATTTTGCAGGCCTCTTGGCTGGAGTATTTTTCGCCCGAGCAAAGATGCAGGAGAAATCTCAATCTCGATCTTGAACAGTGGAAACTAACACCCTTTCAATTGTATATTAGCTTTTCTTGTACAACAAAAAATGTGACATGATCAATCAATTCAAGAGATAGATCAAGATTTTCATTCATCAATGGACCTGCCTATTCTGATACAAACCTCTTTACTGTGGCTGCTGATTCTTGACTCTTGAGTCAAGTTTTATGAGCTTGTATTTTTCCAACATCTTTTTAAGCTAAAACCACCTATATAACCTCTTTTCAAACACCTAAAATTAGTTTCAGATAAATAAGCCTAAGGTCTCTTTCGCCTAAAAGTAGTTTCAGATAAATAAGCCTAAGGTCTCTTTCGAATCAAAATCAGAAGAGTACATATAACCCAGTATAATCCCACAAGTGGGGTATGAGGAGGGTAGTGTGTACGCAGACTTTACCCCTACCCTGGGGTAGAGAGGCTGTTTCGATAGACCGTCGGCTCCCTCCCTCCAAGAACTCCCCACCTTGTTCTTGGGGTGACTCGAACTCACAACTTCTTGGTTGGAAGTGGAGAGTGCTCATCACTAGAGCAACCTACTCTTGTCCAGAAGAGTGCCTTTAGAAAATGGAAGAGGAGTCGCCACAAGGAAGACGGCAACGATTGTTTTAATAAAAAGCGCAGCCCGGTGCACTAAGCTCGCGCTATGTGCGGAGTCCGGGGAAGGGCCGGACTACAAGGGTCTATCGTACGCAGTTTTATCCTGCATTTCTGCAAGAGGTTGTTTCCACGGCTCGAACCTGTGACCTCCTGATCACATGGCAACAACTTTATCAGTTATACCAAGGCTCCTCTTGTTTTAATAAGCCAAACTAAATAAGTCCCAAACTCTAGGAGTGCCTTTAGAAAATGGTAAAGGAGTCACCACAAAGAACATGTTACCTAGACTGCAATTTGATATTAGAGTAAAGGGATCAATAAAGATGCTTCTATATCTAACAGATGTAAAGTATTGAGCCATGAAATAGTTGCCTTAGGCCAAAGACTAGCTGGTTGAAGGTGCAGAGATAAAAATATCCGCACAAACATCTCACAGTAACACCAAACAAAAGCTCAAAATAGCAAAAGTGACTTCTATTCTACTACAGAATTTGGAAGGATCAAAAGGAGAGCTAAAACTAGCTCACTATCATCTGCATAATATAGATTGCACCAGAAGATTAAGATAATTCTGGAGAAAAAAATGATACACATTACAAGATTACTTGAGGGCTTAATGTAACTTTCTGTTTCCTGGAATGTCAAAATTACACTTGAAAAAACAGGTTTTTGTGGCAATTAGAGCCTTTTTGTCTTTTTTTTGTCTTTGACTAATAGCTTTTTCTGTGCTCCTTGGAACTGTGTACTTTCTCATTCAACTGGTGCTAAAGAACTCAGTTATCGATTGGCAACTCTAATGATTAGTCGCTATCTCAAATATAACTCCTTCGTGATTCTTGATATTACATCGAGTCCCAGAAACTTCATTTATCTGCAGACCATGCCGAATTGCTTCATCGATGACCATAACATCCATGCTGCATATAGAATGATCGATTAGTCACACAAAGACCAATAATAAATCAAGAACGAAAATGAGTGAAGTCGCTAAAAACAATGTCAACAGGCATTTTTTCATTTTCTTCCACAAGATGTTAGTTGAAATTATGTTGAAGAAGAAGGGGTATATACTAGTATGTAATCTTTGTAGACAACGTGAAGTCTTTAAGTGAAACTTGCAGCGTTTCATGATCACAATAATTTTTACATGGATTTTCCATACATTCAGCAAAGCCTTCCAAAATTTTGCAGCCATTCAATAGCCATGATCACAATAACCAAGATAGTGAAAGGCACTTACACTTTTGCTCGTGAAACATAGCCCAAAATAAATTTGCATTTGCTCTGATCACGACCTCTGAATAGCTGTTCAACAGTATCAAAAAGCAAAGGAACATTTGCCTGCTGAAAACTTAAAGCTTGTCAAGGATACACTCTATTCTTTCTCGACTACAATATCATCTAAATGATGAAAAATGTAACCAAAACTAAGTTTACAATTCAATCATTATTCAGTTAAGACAATCTTGTTGCTAGTGAGTTTCAAATATAGATCAGTTGATTTAACATTAGTACCAATTAAAGCATTAGGACATAAATCTAGTAGGATATAAATGTCAGCTCCGAGAACTAAATCGAATCCTTCTGGGCGCTGCTGTAATATGTGATTCAGCTGATCGGAGTTGCCCCATTCCAGCTTCTCAGCTTTTAATTCTGCATTGAAGATAAAGGTTAAATGATGACATGACCTTATAAAATGACAATTACAGTCCTCAATCGTTCACAAACCTGCACAACATAGAGAATCGTCTGAAGATTCCTGCAGCTTTATATTTTTATTCAGAATCTGGAATGAGATAAAAAAGATTAGAGGGTGAACTTGCAACACATTCCTGCGGCAAAATTCAATCGCTCAACCTTGCCTTGAGAACTTCCTCATTATGGTCTGTCATCACTACTTCACGACAGAATCTACTGCAGAGTACTCCTGTTATACCTGTATATACGATGCAAACAAACTAATTTAATCTTAACTAAAATAGAGAAGGAGAAATGATATAGAAATTTAAATAGAAAGAAGTGCAAAGACATGTTCTTTCCTTTGCCTTGGGAGAGGAACTATGTAGTGTTATTAGCACTTAAGATTGTGAATAGTTTAGGAACTTAATTCATGTCTTTCGTCAAAAGTGGCCTTTAAGTTATATAACCTCTCTTACTTTGCTCGTGTTTCACACTTCAATTTTTTCCTTGGTTTGCTGAAGAAGTTCTCCTTCCCAATTGCCTATAATTTTTACAAAAAGAGGTATTTTAAGACTCACTTTTATCTTCCAAAAAAGTTCTTACTCTTCAGAAAAGTAAAATCCAACTCTAATTTCAGACACAGTTCCTTTTAAGGTTAATACCATAAAATTTTAATTTTTATCTTAATAGTGATGGCCAAACAGAAAAAGACACAAACGGGGACAAAGAAAATACACATCCTATGTTAATTTATTGAGGTTTCGGGGATGATACTAACCGACACCAGAGCCTAGTTCGATGACAGAACATCCTTGGAGCATGTTCGCATTCTTTGTAAGATAACCATTCAACAGCTCCGCCCCGGGCCACACCAACTGTCCTGTTAAATCAAAATCAGCTGTTCCACAAATAGTCAGCCCACAGTTATTATAATGGGTAATACTAATACAAGCATGCGGACATAAAAAATTATCCAACAACAACAACCAAGTAAAATCTCACAAGTAGGATCTGGGGAGGTTAGTGTGTATGCAGACCTTACCCCTACCCCGGAGGAGTAGAGAGGCCGCTTCCGATAGACCCTTGAACATAAAAAATTATCCGAGGAATAAAAAGTAAACATATCAAAATGGAATTTGGTTCTGCAGTGCTACTGCTAGGTAAAATTCTACAAGTAATGGGACGAGAGAGAGAGCTACTGTATTCATCAACTACACATTGTTGTTGGTATATTCAGACAGGTTTATATCTGGTGAATCTTAATCATCTTAGGATATCCCCCAACCCCACCTCATTTTCTTATTTCTCCAGTTTTTTAATTTAATGAGCCCATCGATTGCTCGTAATAAAGCCTCTCCAATGAGAACTATGCTTATTATGTTGTACTTCATGAAAGTAGTACTGTTAGTCCTTATAACACTGCTTTAGATAAGTAAAGGACCCCAACGAGGACGCGACCCCTATTTATGATAGAAAACTTAAACATTTCTTTGAGCATGTGTAATAAACCTGATCATTCTGTATGTCACAATAGAATAAGCATTTTCCTTAATCCCTTCTTCCCCTTCTATGCCAGCACAAGCTTCCTAACCTACCAAACATTACCATTTGCCTCCATTTTTCTCCATTCTAAGATCTCATATGGCTTAATTTGTTAGAGCATGTTCGGTAGTCCATTTAAAGAGAAAGAAGACTGAGGATGGTTTTTGTAGCTGTTAGGATCGGGAACCCGGGTAGTGCGAAATATAGCCAAACAACGGTATAATGGCAATAACAAAGACAATGGAAGTTGATAACAACGACAATTAAAGTAGATAAAGAAGACACAAATTTAACGTGGTTCGGTCGAAGTGACCTACGTCCACAAGCGGAGAGGAGCAATTTACTATAACAATAAGAGTACAAAAGAAAGTACAAAATTAGAGTAAATACTCTAATTAATCCCAAATACCCTAAGAGAATAACCTCACAAGATCACTCCAAAGAAAGGGTTCACACAAGTGCTTCCCAACACTAACTCTCATACAAAACACTCTTAATAAAGGAAGAAAGGAAGAAACAAGAATTGAAGACAAGTCTTGTTGGTGTGTCTAAAATGAACTAATGACCTTCCCTTTTATAGGCAAAAAAGTCTTGACCTCTTAGGTGTAAAAGAAGAGATACAACTTGTGCAAATGATGTCCAACACACAATCCAATATTTTTGGGTCCCAAAGTNCAAAAAAAAAAAAAAAGAGAGATACCCACTTGTCATTGATGAAGAAAGATTCGTCTAAACACACTATATCTTCTTCTTCTTTACTCATGTTTGATGCCAGTTTTCTGTTTTCTTCTTTGTGCACAGCTCCAGTGCCAACTCCAAAAGCTTCTTTAACTTCACTTTGTTTCTTGTGAGCCTTTTGGCCTCCTACTTTCAATTTTCAATTTGATGTGCTTGGGCTTCAAAGTTTAACAAAGTAAAATTTAATTAGCAAAAGTATAAACCCTATTTATTATAAATCAAAATTATTTTAAAATATTATTTTTTATACCTATTTTTTATATTTTATAGCAAAATAAGTATTTATGGTATATAATACCATTGATGCATGAAATACACTATTTATGTTTTTCCTCTCTTAGACAGCTAAACATACTTATTTTTAAGGTGATTGTCGTTATTGTATTCATGAATATATGGCGCGAATACGTGTGCGTACAGATGGACTGTATAATTTTTACTCCTATATTCATGAATACAACAACGCGAATACATGTGAATACATGTGCGTACAACTGGACTTTATGATTTTAGGCGCTTTTTGTTGTATTGATGAATACAT